CTTTCAACAAAAAATCTGTACTAGCCCAAACAATGACGCCTTACTTTGCTGTATTTAGTGCGCACATCATGGACATCTTGATCTTTTCTAAAGCTGATAAGAACCTTACGTCAATTTCATGGAACCATGTCAGCATTGAAAGTTTGAAAAAGGCTGGTGTGATTGGGAGCTGTCAAAAAACCCACAAAGTACTTTAAAAGGTAAGAGACATTTGCCTAAATGATTTCGGAAGAATCGTAGAAAGCTCTGTAAAACAAAGAGATAGTAGAACACGGACACCAGGCACCAGGTCCCGACCTTGGAGTCTGAATCAAGGTTGTGGCCTTGGATTTTGGATCAAGGCCGTGGTCTTGGATTCCGGACCGAGATTGTCACTGTGGATTTTGGCACAAGGTCGACCGTTATTGTTAAGCATTGTGAAGATTCAGTACTCGGTTGGTCTCAACAGGATGGCGCACCCGCGCACAACACCCTAATCGTGTGAGAATACCTATTGTAAGATGTTAATTTGCCCGATAGGTTTTCCCACACGATTAGTCGTTGCGCACGGGTGCTCCATGCTGTTGAAACCAATAGAAATTGTAACTTTTGATTTTTGTGCCGTACATCGTTGCCATATAAAAAAATAAAGTTCATGTTGATTTCTCCGAAATCCGTTACTTGTTCAGCTCAAATAGTGGCAATAGAAAGTGTTTTGTGTTTTTTTGTATCTTTTAAAATATCATCAGAAAAAATAAACACGGAATTGTCAAATTTTGACATGGCAGAAAATTCAAATACATAACCAATTTATTTTATTTTATTTTATTTTATTTTATTTTATTTTATTTTATTTTATTTTATTTTATTTTATTTTATTTTATTTTATTTTATTTTATTTTATTTTATTTTATTTTATTTTATTTTATTTTGTTTTGTTTTGTTTTTTGTTTTTTGTTCTTTATTTTTTGTTGTGTTTTGTTTGGTTTTGTTTTGTTTTGTTTTGTTTAGGGACGCATACGTTACCATTAGGCGAACATTCCAGGTTAACAGGACAACTAGGCGTTCACTTGGAGAAAGGCTCATTTGGCAAAAGAACCAATATATTAGGCACAATTTCACATCGTACGCGATCATTACGGTAAAATGTTGGGTCGACATGCCGTCTGACCATAGGTAAAATTCCCTTTCATGCTTCAAGGGTCCTTTCCCAATGTATACAGGGTGCCTGATAAGTCTGGAAACGGTCGATTATCGGGGAAAATATACAAGATATCGAAATATGTTTTATACAAAAGATTTGGGGTTCTTCAATATCTACTAGGAAGTAATAATTTTAATTATATAAGGTTGCTCATAGAGGCACAGCACACCAAAATTGCATTTTTTAAATGGAACACCCTGTACATTATTCAATATTTCAATTCTCTCAATTTTAAGCAAAATTTGTAATAAGCATAATGTACCTAAATTCAATCGCATCCGGGTAATCGAGTTTTAAAAATCAACGCTATTATTTTAATATTCAATTTGTGATGTCATTAATTATTGTTCTTTATTCAATACATTTTATTTTCAAAACTCGATAACTCGGAAACGATTGGACCTGCGATTGGATTTAGGTACATTATGCTTCTTACAAATTATGCTCAAAATTGAGAGAAGAATTGAAATATCGAATAATATACAGGGTGTACCGGTTAAAAAAAGGTAATATTTTTGTGCCACGCCTGTATATAATTAAAATTACTACTGCCTAATAGAAATTAATGAACCTCAAATCTTTTGTATAATAGCTTGTATTTACCCCGATAATCCACCGTTGCCAGACTTATCACCGACCCTATATAGGGCGAGCACTAAAGAGCAACACTGCACCCCCGGTGCTAGGTTCTCCCACAAAACTTTGAACCATAAGGACCATCAAGTTTCCCTTTTTTGAAGAGTATTCCGTACGTTCACCTGTCCCTTCCGGAGGCGTACCTAGTGCTAAAGAGCGGTACGTGTATTGGGCAGAGAAATGAAAGTGGGATGGCGAGTGGGGCTTGGGATTATAGAATTAATACCCTCATAAAAAGAAATTCAATGACTGTTTCCATACAATCATCATTATTAACATAAAAACATGTATAGGTAACCATACGAATGGACTCTTCGTATGCTGGGAGGTATTCCACATCTACATCCCCAGATCCCCCGATGCTACGTTTCCTCTCAAAACTTTCAACCCTTAGGATTAGTTTAGTTAGTTTTAAAAAAAGACCATCAAACTCCTTTTTTTTTTTAAGTATTCCATAGATTCAAGGGCTCCCTTCCGAAATTAATAGGGAGAGTACTAAACAGCGATACTGTTTGGTTAAAAACGTACAACCGGGGGGTCTGGGGGGTATGGAATTTTACGAAGATTCTATTAACATGTATATATGAATACCTGCATTGGTGATGATTGTAGGGAAAAAATTGTAGACTCGTACAAATGAGCTCTTCGTATTTTGGGGCTCCAGACCTCCCTGGTACTACGTTCTTCTTCAATACGTTCACCCCCAAGGGCGCTCGGGCTAGTTTTAAAAAAGTCCATCACACTTCCTTTTCTTGAACCGTATCCCATACGTTCAAGGGCCTCCTCCCGAAATCATTAAGGAAGTGTAGGTACTAAAGAGCAATACTGTTTGGTGAAAAACATACAACCGGGGGGTCTGGGGGGTATGGAATACCCCCCAGCTTACGAAAATTCTATTAACATGAATATATATGAATACCTGCATGGTGATGAATTGTAGAGAAAACAATGTAGACTCGTACAAATGAGCTCTTCGTATGCTGGGGGTATTCCATACTCCTCAAACCTCCCCGGTACTACGTTCTTCTTCAAAACGTTCACCCCTAAGGACGCTCGGGCTAGTTTTAAAGAAGACCATCAAACTTCCTTTTCTTGAACCGTATTCCATAAGCTCAAGGGCCTCCTCCCGAAATGAATAGGGGGAGTACTAAAGAGCAATACTGTTTGGTTAAAAACATAGAACTGCCGGGGAGTGGGGTATTCTATACCCCCACCATACGAAGATTTTATTAATTGTGTGTATAGTGATGATTGTAGGGAAAACGTTTATATACTGATACTCATATTCGTTTCCTGGGTGGCATTCCATACCCCCCAAACCCCCTGGCGCTAGGTTCTCCTTCACAACTTACAGCCCGAAAGACGCTTGTGATAGTTTTAAAGGAAGACCTCCAAGCTTCGCTTTCTTGAACACTATTCGATAAGTTCGAAGGCCCCTTCCAGACATTGTATAGCGCGAGTACTAACACTTTTAAAAACATAAACCGGGGGTGGGGGTGGGGTTTATGGAATACTCCCCCCTCCTCCAATATACGAAGATTATGTTTATCAGTTTATAAGAATATACGAATAGTTTCATGGTGTTTCTGGGGATGGACGATTATCAAGCTATTCTTTAGTGGTGGAGGGAAGGGAGGGAAAGTTTTTGTACTTCGTTTCCGTTTCTTGATATTTCACTCCTAAATTAGTAAGGTTTAGGGTCGTTTGGTCCATTTTTGAGAAAACCAATGTCTATTTATTTGCATAATTACTAAATATAATCAAATCGAAGTGATGGTATATCCATCGTGGTTTTTGGGTTGAGTGCTGAACCGTATCTCTCCTTGTTGAGGCTTTAATTGAATACCAATGGCTAGAATCCGTGAGTCCGCGACCAGTTCTTTAACTGCCTGTTTCATTTGCGTATTAGGATTTTGCCATTCAAAGTTTTATTTCCAATAGTGACCGTGACACTTTGGCCTGGCCGGCATATATTAATTTAAGGGATGCAGACGTGTGTACAGGGACACCTTATCTCATATAATCTACAATGGCGTTTGGAGCGGAGATCTAACGAAATTGGGTCAATGGATCATTTTATTTCCTTCAGTTAATCAAGTTTGTAATTAATGAGTAATTCCTCTTCAAGGGATTACACCAATATTAATTTTCCTTAAAATTTTAGTCATTAATGAGTACTTAACTTCAATAACCTAATTGAGGCATCATTTTGATGGTGTATAAATGTGAGTATACCTTTTCATTTAGGGATTTGAACACTTTAGTCGATCGTGGATCGGAATACAACTTTTGGCCCCTCAAGCCATCGTCATTTCAAGTACCGAGTAGTCTTGTTTTTTTTTTGTTTTACAGTGAATTGCTGGAAGCGTCAGAACATATTCGTACTGTCATTATGGGCGCCATGTTGTCATAATTTTACATTTTGGACATTGACTTTGACAACTTCAACCTTAAAGGGTTAATTAAATGAAGGAGAAATTTTAGAAATTTGATAGAGATTTAGATGTACATAGACGCTTTAGAAAATGGAAGCTTTTACCTGGAGTTTGCTAGCAAAAGGAACGTGCAGAGAAGAAAAATTTGGCGTTTCAAGGCGTTCGACCAACGTAAACCATATCGCATTCCGCGCACTCTAAATACCAAACTCGTTCCCTTTGCGCAACGCTGAAATCGTAATGTTGTTATTATTGTAAAATGATAGAAAAATTTTCGTCTTTAACGGGGTCAAGTTGTGTACGCGGGCAAGATTATATATAGTTAAAGAATCACGTTTTCCAGTCTTTTACAAGCGACAATTTCGCAATAGCCGACTTTATCGTTGTAAATCAAATTATGCTAACAATCCATTCTCATACCCAACGTATATACTTAAAGATGGTGCAATGCCGGTTAAAGATACTCATTTATAATACCTACCTACCGCGCACTTTTTGCATATGGTACTAACAGTAATTGTCGGTTGTTGATCGGGGGACCGCGGGGTTGCGGAGAAAGCATGTGAATTAAATTGGGCGTAAAATCGGTTGATATTGGAATGTATTATGGCGATTAGAAGCAGGTAGGGGTTGTTTAATGACAGCCGCAATACTGTCGGTTTTTGGAAACTGCTCCGCGATTTTTCGACCTACGCGCTGATCTACTTCGCAGCACAATAAACTGTTATTTATGATCTTGCACTTACCATCGCCACTGGACGATCCGACATGTGAACCACCATCTTCTGAAACAAAAAAAATCGCAAAGAGTTATGGTGTCGTAGCTTGTCTAAGGTAATTTAATTAAATCGGAGATTTATGTAACGTTTCGTCCTTTTTTCGCGTTTACATAGTCAGGAACGTGGAGCGTTGGTGCGATTTATTATTGATATTGCTCGACGAGTGGGTGGAAAAGTAAAATTCATAACTTTCTCGAGAGACAATTTAGAATCGTCGACTTTTATTGTCGGTGTTTTCGCTAAAGATCATATTGGCACCGATTTACAAGCCATTACAACCGATCGCCGGCCTCTACATTATACTTGGGACATTCATAAACATCGAAGAAGTCGACCAACCCGTTCTTCGACTCGATCGCGAGCTAAACTCCCGAAGACGAGATCTGCCCCTTTTTCGACGATGCGAGTACATTTCGATTCGATTTAATCACGGTAGGTGGATATTTATCGAAATTGGAAGTTTAAGTGATGCTGATCGATTTTTAAGCGGACGTAAGTTGGTAATGTGGTGCTCGAGTTACTTATTAAAGGGCGAACGTCGAGCACGTATGCCCAAATTTGCGGGTAATTTGGGGTTAACGACGAATTCGTGTGAAGCTTAAACGATGCACGTGTTGCACAAATTCACCTCGCCAATGTTGCATATCGAAACCAAACGCCATCCATTGTTTTGTCAATACCTACACCCATACACCAGACGCACAGTAGCGTCAAATTCTGTTGAATATCCAGATCAAAAACAGAAATACTCAACCCTTGAAATTGGAATCAACAGTATATGCGCCTATGGTTCTCCACTGGACGTTCAATGGACATTCTCTAAGACAGACAATCAGAGATATCTCTGAAGAATGACAATGTTGGTTCTTATATAAAGCAGGAGCAGCAGTGCTAAATGCTCAAAGCAAGCGAGTGTACATGTCCTTTACCGGACGTGCGATGGACAATGGACATGGCTTTTCGATTAGTTACTGTAGAGATCAAAAAACAACACCGTGTGTTCCGTCGGTCGCAGTACATCTCCTTTTTCGCACAATTCAGCACAAATAACAGGTATGTACAGGGTGGCCAAATAAGAATGCGAGGTACTGTATTTGGGAACCTGTCCATCGTAGAGGCTTGCGGTAAAAAAGTTTGTACTAAAACGGCCACGAGAAAAACCTGGAAAACATTTTTAAGTTTCTGAAATGGCGCTAAGGGGCGTAATTGCAATCTGGTATCTAAAAAAGTGATTCTGTGAATTCCGCTATATTAACCTAACAAAAAAATATCCGGTCTTTGAAGACGACTATAATATGAACCTTTTTTGTTTGACAATTTTTCCTGTATCTTTAATGATGAAGGGTATTTAAAGGTTTCCGTAAAGAACACCTTCTGTCTTCGAAACGGCTGAGCCAATTTAAACAAACTTGGGTTAGTTGAAAAGAGTTATTCTTCGGCTACAAATATTATAATATTTGAAGTTTGTTAGTTTCACATCTTGCCGCTTGAGGGCTTTTTTCGACATTCCGACAGAAATGGTTAATTTCCTCAACAAAATTAAATGCAGTGGTTTGATTTTTTTTCATGAAAAAGTAGCTAAATGATGCCTAAACATGCTCGAGAAACCCGCATCTCGATATCTTGTTCCTAACCTAAAATTTAGGACAAAGAAGATTGTATACCCCCAAAATTTTTTTTTTTTTAACTTCCGGAATTATTTTTATTATATAATTTGTGGCCCTAATGTCGTCGTAAATTCTGACCATTACGATACATATCTATCTACCTATGTCATATTATCTCAAGATATTATCGAGATGCTCTTTTCGCGAGCTTGTTGAGGCATCATTTAGCTACTTTTTCATGAACAAAAAATCGAACCAACGCATTTAATTTTTTTGAGACAATTAACCATTTCTCTCAGAATGTCGAAAAGAGCCCTCCAGCGGTGATATATGAAACTAACAAAACTTCAAATAGTATAATATCGGTATCTGAGGAATAGCTCTTTTGAACTAACCCCAGTTTGTTTAAATTGGCTCAGCCGTTTCGAAGATACAGGGTGTTCTTTACGGAAACCTTGGAATACCCCCCACTACCTAATTTTTAAAGATACAGGAAAAATTGTCAAACAAAAAAGGACATTTTTTGTTAGGTTAATATAGCGGAATTCACAGAAAAATCACTTTTTTAGATTCCAGATTGCAGTTACGCCCCCTAGCGGCCATTTCAGAAACTTAAAAATATTACAAAATACAGGTTTTGCTCGTGGCCGTTTTACTAATAACTTTTTTTACCGCAAGCCTCTACGATGGATAGGTTCTCCGATACAGTACCTACCTCGCATTCTTAGTTAGCCACCCTGTACATTGTACGATGCTAAAGCAATCGCCGGATGTGCTCTGTACATAACTGTATGTGCCCTTGTTTCGCAAATGTGGTATGTCTCCATTTAGATCCCTTATTATGCCTTAGAGCTATTGGATTCCTTAGATTCCTCAGTTCTCTTAGATCTCTTAAATAGCCGAGATCCCATATGTAGGTCGCTTAGATCTTTTAGATGCCTAGATCCCTTAGATCCTTTAGATCCCTTAAATCTGTTTTAAATTTCTTTGGTACATAGGCTAACATAACTAACGGTACTGTTTTGCCTTCAGACTAGCCGATACCCTAAATTCCTAGGTCCCCTATCTCCCATGGATTCTATAGGTGTTCTAAGTACTATTGCTCCTACTCTTCTTTCGACCCCTGGACTCCTTAGGCTCGCTAAGAGTCATTAAATTCCTTACGCTGCTTGGAGTCGCTAGATTCCGTAAATTTGTTAGGTTTTCTACACTCCCCCGACTCTCTGATAGATTCCCTAAACTCCCAAGGCTCAAACTCTGTAGACGTCCCAAACTCCTTAAGCACGGTCGACTTCTGGAATTCCGTAGACTCCGTGAACTCCTGAGAGCCTTTGGGTTCCTTACATTGCTCGGATTACGTAAATAAGTTCCTAGGTCCGCCATCATCCCTAGATTCCCTAGGTGCTCTAGACTATCCTGCACTCCTCAAGCAAAATTTTGAAGTGTAACGTAACCAAGGAAACCAGAAACTCCAAGAAATCCAAGGAATCAGACGAATATAAAGGATCTGAGGTATCCAAGGAATCGAAAGAAACCATAGGTTCTAAAGAATCTGAAGAGCCTAAGATTCCCTGCAACGTGAGGAGTGATCCAATGGATCCAGGGAATATTATAACATTGACTAAGTAATCTGAGAAATTAAGGAAGAAACAGAAACCAAGGGAACCTAATAGATCTGAAGAACCAAGAAAAGCAAAAGCTCCCCAGGAACCCACGGAACTCTATTGGGAATCCCATGTGTGAAGAAGGAATTCTAGAGGTAAGGAGATAATTGTGGGTATACAAAAATGTGCCTGAGAAAAACCTAAAAAAAGTTATTGTCAGTAATCAGAGGAATCAAATGAGTTAGATGAAACAGAGAATCTTGGGAACTCTTGGGGAATGTGAAAGAATGTTGAGGAATTCCCTAGGTCACCATCATCTCCCAGACCATTCTTGACTCTCGCGATTCTTTAGACTACCTAAACTAGCACTAAGTAATAGAACAGATTGGTCGAGGGGAAGGTTACAGTTGAAAAAAATTCAAAAACAGTTCAAATCCAAGAAATCTAAGGTACTAATGTACCCAGAAATCCAAGAAGGTTAAGGAATTTAAAGAATTTGAAGAAGTCTAATCTGATGAGTCCAAGAAACCAAAGGAGTTCAAGAGGTCCAACAACCCCATGGGTTCTAAGGAACCATAGGACCCAAAAGTTCCCACGTAATATAAGGAATCCGGGGGAACCAAGGGAGGGAACCCAAGGAAGAATTTGAAGAAGGAAGATGGAAGTACTTGAGGAATGAATAAACCCAAGATTTAAAGAATTTGAGGACTTGGGAATCAAAAAAATATTTTATGGAATGGAGAATAAATAAACCAGAGGAATGAGGGGATCTAAAGCAATCAAGAACACTAAAAGATTCGTTAGAATTAGGATGACTAAAAGAATCATTGGTATAAAAAGAATCAGATGCAACCAAGGGTAAAAGTATCAGAGAAATTAAAGGCATCGAAGGGGATCAGATTTAATTGGAAGAAGCATGCTAATCGTGGCAATCAGGGAATCAAAGAAACTTGGAGAAATCAGAGATGAAGGATGTGAAAAGAATCGAGGGAGTCATGGAAATGAAGCAAATCCAAGGAATTCGAAGACAAACAAGTATTACAAGAATCGTAGGAATCCAAAAAATTTGTTTAAGAAATCCAAGGAACCAAAGTAATCTGAGGAACCAAAAATCCAAGGAAACTTAAGAAACTTAAAAAAACTAAGGATCAAAGCATATAAGTCGTATAAGCAATCTAAGGAATTCCACAAATCCAAAAAATCGAAAAAATCCAAGGAATCCAACGATTAAAAAGAATACCAGGAATCTAAGCACATTGGAAATACTAGGAATGCAAGGAAACTATGGAATCTAAGAAATCTGAAGATTCCAAGGAATTTACGGAATCAATGGAATCCATGGAATTTAAGGAATTTGAGGAACCCAGGAGATCAGAAGAATTCAAGAAATACTACAAATCCAAAGAATATTTAAAAACTTTAAAATGTATGGGTTAAAGGAAGCATGTAAGTCGTCTAAGGACTCCAAGAAATCTAAGGAATCCAACGATTAAAAATCATATCAGGAATCTAGGAATTTACGGAATCAAATAAATCAAGGAATCCATGGAATGTAAGGACTGAAAACTCCAAGAAATACTAAGAATCCAACGACTGTAAAGAATCCAAGAAACCTAAGCAATCTGAGGAATCCAAGAGAACAGACGAACTCAAGAAATCCTAAGAATCCAACGAATCTTAAAAACGGTCAAAACATAAGTGTTAAAGGAAGCATCTAAGTCGTCTAAGGAATTCCAGAATCCCAAGCAAACTGAGAAATACCAGGAATATGACGAGTCCAAGGAGTCTAATAAATTTATGGAATCGAAGAATCCATGCAATCTAAGGAATCTGAGGACTCCAAGGAATCCAACGAATGTAAGAAATCCAAGGAACCTAAGCAATTTGAGGAACCCAGGAGATCAGAAGAATAACATAAATCCTAAGAATCCAAAGAATCTTAAAAACCTTAAAAACCTAAGGGTTAAAGGAAGCATCTAAGTCGCTATTGTATCCAAGCAATTCCGGAATCCCAAAGAATCCAAGAAATTCAAAGAATCGAAACGACTAAGCAATTCCGGAATCCCAAGGAATCCAACAAATTCAAAGAATCCAAAAGACTAAGAAGAATCGCAACATTACCAGCAAACTGAGAAATACGAGGAATATAAAGAATCCAAGGAATCCAAGGAATCCGAGGAATCCAAGGAATCCAACGGATAAAAAGAATCCCAAGCAAACTCAGAAATACCAGGAATATGAAAAGTCCCAGGAATCGGAGAAATCCAAGGAATCCACGGAATCTAAGAAATCTGAAGAATCCTAGGTATTTACGGAATCAAAGGACTCTAAGGAATTTGAGGACTCCAAGGAATACTAGAATTCCAACGAATGTAAGAAATCCAAGGAACCTAACCAATTTGAGGAACCCAGGAGATCAGCAGAATTCACGAAATCCTAAGAATCCAAAGAATCTTAAGAAACTTAAAAATCTAAGGGTTAAAGGAAGCATCTAAGACGTCTAAGGAATCCAATGAATTCCAGAAACCTAAGGAATCCGAAAAAAACCCTAGCAATCCAACGGTTAAAGAGAAACCCAAGCAAACTGAGAAATACCAGGAGTATGAAGAGTGCAAGGATTCCAAGAAATTTACGGAATCGAAGAAATCCAAAGAATCCATCTAAGGACTCCAAGGAATACTGGGAATCCAACGAATATAAGAAATACAACGAACCTAAACAATCTGAAGAACCCAAGAGATCAGAGGAATTCAAGAATTCCTAAGTATGCAAAGATTAAGGATTAAAGGAAACATCTAAGTTTGCTACGGAATCAAAGCAAATATAGAATCCCAAGGAATGTAAGGAATCCAAGGCACCTAAGCAATTTGAGGAACCGAGATCAGCATAATTCAAGAAATCCCAAGAATGCAAAGAATCTTAAAAAACTTAAAAATCTAAGGGTTAAAGGAAGCATCTAAGACGTCTAAGGAATCCAAGGAATTCCAGAATCCTAAGGAATCCGAGAAATCCACGAAATCCAGTGATTAAAAAGAATCCCAAGCAAACTGAGATATACCAGGAACAGTCCAAGGAATCCAAGAAATTTACGGAATCGAAGAAATCCTAAGAATCCATGCAATCTAAGGAATATGAGGACTCCAAGGAATACTAGGAATCCAACGAGTGTTAGGAATCCAAGGAACCTACGCAATGAAAATAACCCAAGAGATTAGAGGTATGCAATTCCGGAATCCCAAGGAATCCAAGAAATACAAGTAATCCAAGCAATTCAAGAAATCCAAGGGATCCAAGAAGTCCAAAGAAATCATGGATTCTAAGGAATATGAGGAAACCAAGGAATATTAGGAATCCAAGGAACCGAAGGAGCCCAAAAAATCTGAGGAATTTAATGAATCCAACGTATCCGAAGCCTTCAAAGAATGAATAAGGGCAGCGAAAGAAATCCGCGGTAGAAAGACCAGCAGAATGCAAGGTCTCGAAAGCCGAAGGTCATCGAAATCAAAAGCCAAAAATCTCAAGAATCAAACACTCGGAGGAAGAATCTAAGCAAACTGAGAAATACGAGGAATACAAAGAGTCAAAGGAATCCAAGGAATTTACGGAATCTAAGAAATCCAAGGAATCCATGGAATCTAAGAAATCTGAGGAATCCCAGGAATTTACAGTACCGAAGGAATCCAAGGTATCCGTGGAATCTAAAGCATTTGAGGACTCCAACGAATACTAGAAATCCAACAAATGTAAGGAATCCAAGGAACCTAGCAATCTGAGGAACCCAAGAGATCAGAGGAATTCAAAAATTACTAAGAATCCAAAGAATCTTAAAAAAACTTAAAAATCTAAAAGTTAAAGGAAGCATCTATTCAATGAATCGTGGAATTATCGTGCTCAGTTGCGTCAAAAAATTCGAGGAATCAGTGAAATCGGGTGAATCCTCTTAGAGCATTTTTATTGTCCAGTTATTTTAAAGTTCGAGTAGAAATCCACGCTTTCAAGTTTTTGGAGCTTCATCAACCAGTTTACCTTCCTCGCGAAGTCGGAGTAGACTGGTGGCCACAAGCATCTCAGTTTCCAAAAAAAAAGAGATGGGTTCACCACGTTTAAATTGGTTTGGTAGATGGGGTTAACGCAGCTTGGGCGAGATCCTCCCCAAATAGGGTGTTAACAGGGCAAACGCCTGTAATTATGCAACTCCTCGCGCTTCAAATGAGCATTTTCTAAAAGTCGACTAAGATTTTTCTTATAATTTGGGAAACTATCAAGTAATACTTACTTTTCTTTTTGTGCTCCTGATCCTGCTGATGAAACGTACCAGTTGAGGGGTCAATCATCATGGAGTGCCCCAGGTGACCCCCATGACCCCCTGGCTGGCACTCCATCGTAATCATAGTGCCCTCAATTGTGGGCAAGTTATCTGCAACAAAGATCCCAAGATTAGTTTCGTACGTTCTCGAGCTTCCGCCAGTGAAAGTCGCGGGACGAACGCGTCCTTAACTTTTAAAACGGAAAAAAAGGCCGTCCAGCTGTTCGATCGTAAGATTACGTATACAACACCAGAAGGGGTCGTTAGTCCTAATCACTTTCGTTCCTAACCGAAACCTCATCAGCCCTTTCCTTTATAAATAAATGCGCGCGGTAAAAGTCGGGCGCCGACCTTTTACTAGCAAACGGTCCTTCTCGACGCGCGGGAATTTCTACTAACGAAAATGCCATATGCCATCATTTCTACCCCCGTGCTCGTAAACTATTGTTAAAACGGAAAACTTAAATTAAGGGCCGCTTCTGCCGCAGCCTGTCGTCTCACCTTTGTTTGTTTTAAAATCTCTCCGGTAGTCATCTTGTGGTTTATGGTTTATCAGGTACTACCGGAAGAGGCTAAAACGGCACAATATGGGACACGTCGATTTTAATTTAAAAACCGCGCTTTACATTCCTAAACACTGTAATTTAAAACGTATTAAGCCTTTTTTCTAATAGCCTTTTGCGCAATCGCCTATGAAATATTTTGTAGTAATCAGTTCGTAACAAAAATTACGTTTTGATGGCATTAAAATAAATACCAGACCAGGCCGACGTGCGACGTGGTGCTTTTTTCTTTCGATTTTTGGAGCGGCCTACATTGCTTCGTGTACTGCATTGAATTTTTTTTCGGTCGACAAATTCCGTTACAGAAATTTGGACTACTGCTTGGTCCGTCGAAAAAAAGAGCACTTACTATATAATTATTTAATGGAGCGAATTTGCCTTCGGCCGTTCTAATGACAAAAGCGTGATTTTTCGTTTAACGACTGCAGTTTTTCGAGAAGTGCTTCTAGTTCTTTGCAACCTTTATACGAACCTTGCGCAATTCTACTTTTCAGATCTTCCTTCTATGTCTAAGGATACGCGTACGAAATTTAGTTCCAATCGGCTCAGCCGTTTAGCCGGAAATGAGAGTCCAGGCAGACAGACCGACCGACATAATCGAGATTTTGTTTAATTCGGATTCATTTTGCTTCAAAACGTGTATTTCCGTAAAAAAAAGTAGGGGGTCATTTTCTACCCCTATGCAATACCTCCCTTACTAACGTGTGAGTGGTAAAAAACTTTCCCATCAGGTTGCTGGAGTTTCAAGAAGTTATTGCTTGTAAGTGGACTCCCCGTGCGAAAGCTTAAGGGCTTAAGGGTTTAGGGAGTCTAGAGAATCAGAGAAACTAGAAATTAAGAAGATGAAGGATGTGAAACTGAAAAGAATCGAGGGAGTCAAGGAAATGAAGCAAATCCAAGGAATTCAAAGACAAACAGGTATCCCAAGAATCGTAGGAATCCAACGAATTTATTTAAGAAATCCAAGGAACCAAAGTAATCTGAGGTACCCAAGATCCTAGGAATCTTAAGAATTCTTAAAAATCTAAGGGTTAAAGAAGGCATATAAGTCGTATAAGGAATCTAAGTAATTCCACAAACCCAAAAAGTCGAAAAATCCAAGGAATCCGACGATTAAAAGGAATACCAGGTATCTAAGTAAACTGGAAATACTAGGAATACAAGGAATCCATGGAATCTAAGGAATTTGAGGACTCCAAGGAGTACTAGAACGAATGTAAGGAATGCAAGGAACCTAAGCAATTTGAGGAACCCAGGAGATCACCGAATTCAAGAAATACTAAGAATCCAAATAATCTTAAAACAATTAAAAATCTAAGGGTTAAAGGAAGCATCTAAGAAATCTAAGGAATCCAAGGAATTCCAGACACCGAAGGAATCCGAGAAATCCAAGGAATCCAACGATTGATTAAAAATAATCCTAAGCAAACTGAGAAATACCAGAAATATAAGGTCCAAGGAATCAAAGCAATTTACGGAATCGAAGAAATCCAAAGAATCCATGCAATCTAAGGAATATGAGGACTCCAAGGAATACTAGGAATTTACAAAATGGAAGGAATCCAAGGAACCTAAGCAATCTGAAGAACCCAAGAGATCAGAGGAATTCAAGAAGTCTTAAGTATACACACAAGGTACAAGCACCAAGGTTCAACACCGAAAGTTCAGATTTCAACCTTCAAGGTTAGACATTCAAAGCATACTATCTAAAATCCCTCTTGAAGCTCTGTTAAAATTTTATTTTTTGAATAGTTTTTTGAACTCCTGTGAAGCACTCTTTCAAACACCGTTTGTAAGCCTTTTTTTTCTAAATTCCCGCGGAACTCTCCTGAAGCTCTATCAAAATTCCGATAAAGCTCTGCTTAAAACTCTAGCAGCCCTCTTGATTCACGTTTTAAACCTTCTTGAAACTCTCTCTTTGAATTCGCATTGGAAACATTCCTGAAGGTCGACTGGAGGTTGAAAATTCCTTAACAGCTTTGATAAGCTTCTGAAAGTACTTTGAAAGCTCTGGTACAGTATTTCATCAAGACGGTGAGACACTGTTGAAATTCTAGTGCTTATTCTTTCGATCGACCGTTGAGTTCCTCTGAAAACCTGGGGTTTTTCGAAATTATGATGGTTTCTTTGTAAGTCTCCGAAACCATCAAAATCCTGGTAAAGATGGCTTTTAGTCCTATTGGAGCTCTCTTTTAGAACATTGTAGAAACCTTTCCGAAGCTCAACTAAAACTTTTCGGGAACCCTAAATGTTTTCTCTTGAAAATCTGTTGAAGTGTCCCTGAGACGCCAATGAGCTTCCTCTAAACTCTCTACTTAAGTACTACTAAACCCGCCCGATGCCTTCTTGATAACCCGAATGTATCTTTCCTGAAGGGTGTTCCAGACCCCCCCGGTGGTACACTGCAATGTATTCGGCTCTACACGTCTAGGGCTTAATACATCTGGGCGTAGTCCCAAGCAGGCCGGAATACAGGAAAAAATCGGTTTTCTTTTCAAATGTGATCACAGAGTCCTATTGCCCTAAACGGTTTGGGGGAGAACAAAGCGCCAAGGGGGGGGGGATTCTCTCAGCATAAGGGACTCGATAACTCCTACAATCTTCTATACTTTCATGGGCGTTTTCTGGAGATGACAATAGAACTATCGCATACTGCCAGACCACCCGGTAACAATTTCCCTCACAAAACGTTTAGCTCTCAGGGCTCTCACAATAATTTTAAAGAAGATTATCAGGTCCTCTTTTCCCAAATGTAAGACAACTTCGCACCGGGGGGGGGGGGGGGGCATTTCCTGCTGCATTTTCACGAGCTTCGTCTGGGGAGAACAATGGCATAATCGCATATAGACCCCCGATAACACTTTCTCTCACAGTACGGGCTAACCTCAGGGTTCTCACAATAGTTTTTGGGAAGATTATCTGATCCTCTTCTCCAAAGAAAAATTTCTTCAGAAAACCTAGCACGGATATCGACCTCGACCCCCCCCCCCGTGGTACTTTTAGGCAAGGAAGATTCGATAACTAACTCATTTTTCTGTAACTTGCTGTACTTTAATGGGCGATATCTGGAGATGACTCCTCTTGAACCCTCCTCAATCTATCCTATCTGTAGCTCTTTCATATTCGACATTTTGTAACGTTTTCTTGAGACTGTCTCGAAAAACTACAGATCCCCCCTCACCCTCTCAACCAGTTTCAAAACGGCCCATGCTCTCTGAAAATCCTCTTGAAGCTCTGATAAAAAGCTTTGGTGTTTTGAAAGTATCTTTTATCTAAAGTCTTGTAGAACTATTGCCCTAAACGGTTTGGGGGAGAACAAAGCGCCAAGGGGGGGGGGGATTCTCTCAGCATAGGGGACTCGATAACTCCTACAATCTTCTATACTTTCATGGGCGTTTTCTGGAGATGACAATAGAACTATCGCATACTGCCAGACCACCCGGTAACAATTTCCCTCACAAAACGTTTAGCTCTCAGGGCTCTCACAATAATTTTAAAGAAGATTATCAGGTCCTCTTTTCCAAAATGTAAGACAACTTCGCACCGGGGGGGGGGGGGGGGGCTCGATAACTCCATTTCCTGCTGCATTTTCACGAGCTTCGTCTGGGGAGAACAATGGCATAATCGCATATAGACCCCCGATAACACTTTCTCTCACAGTACGGGCTAACCTCAGGGTTCTCACAATAGTTTTTGGGAAGATTATCTGATCCTCTTCTCCAAAGAAAAATTTCTTCAGAAAACCTAGCACGGATATCGACCTCGACCCCCCCCCCCCCCCAGTGGTACTTTTAGGCAAGGAAGATTCGATAACTAACTCATTTTTCTGTAACTTGCTGTACTTTAATGGGCGATATCTGGAGATGACTCCTCTTGAACCCTCCTCATTCTATCCTATCTGTAGCTCTTTCATATTCGACATTTTGTAACGTTTTCTTGAGACTGTCTCGAAAAACTACAGATCCCCCCTCACCCTCTCAACCAGTTTCAAAACGGCCCATGCTCTCTGAAAATCCTCTTGAAGCACTGATAAAAAGCTTTGGTGTTTTGAAAGTATCTTTTATCTAAAGTCTTGTAGAACTTTTTCTCAGACTTTTGCTGAACACTTTCCAGTAGCACCCAATTTCGACAAGTGTGAAACCTTCCCTATTCTTGTAGTTCATTTGAAGGAATTTGTAAATATTCTTGAAAATCTCTGGTCGGAGATTCCAGAATGTCAAAAATTCTTGAAAACATTAAATTTGATAAACCTCTCGAAAGTCTCTGAAAGGTCTGATACAGATTTTTTCCTCACGATGGTGAGACATTGTTGAAATCCAGGTCCCTCCGTGCCTCGTTTCACAAAACGTTGTTAAGCGTCCTCTCTTGAGTTACTCTGAAAACCTTTGCTTTTTGGAAATTATGATGGAACTTTCTCTAAACTATGACACCATTGAAATTCTGGTAAACTTGTCTTTTATCCGTGTTTCCCGAAGAGTATCCCCCGACCCCCACACCCTGGTGGTACACCAAAATGTATTATTAAGCCCTAAACCAACGCTGTAGGGC